GTAGTGAGTAAGGGAGCAAGTGATGGAAGAGGAAAACAGATAGATAAACTAGGGCTCCTTTATAAGCCATTTCACAAAGTGGGCATTACGCTGAGGTCAAACTTTCATTGAGGGGAATGTAGAAAAGTACAGTCTTTATCTGATGTCGCTTTAGAAGAATTACTGTCACAGTATACTAGGAAGTAGATTGAGGAGGGTGAGTCTGAAGGCTGGGATGCCTGTAATCCATGAAAGAGATCATGGATCTTTAGTGATGACGATGGCAGTGGGGTGGGGAGAAGTATTGGGAGATATTTAGAGGGCAGACTTGCTGGGAAGTGATAGAGAAGGAGAGGTCAAAGTTGAGCAGCTAGATAGATTGTGAGCTCTGGCAGGAAGTTGATGAGTTCGGTTCTGGACACAGCGAGAGTAAGACTATCCCAACGCCAACTGAGAACTCTTCTTACAAAGGTGAGTTTTCCTGCTCTGCCGCCAGTCCTCCCTAAGAGCAAGAGCTATTTCAAAACAACCACATTTATGGTTACATGAAAAGATGCTACTTGGTTCATTCATTGGGCAACACAAGACGAGTCTCTTAACCACTAGGTTTCTCAGCTTCTTTCCCTGTAAAATGGTGACAAGCAGCATGCCCCACCTATCCACAGGGAAGTAGGGATGAGAAAATGGAATTCCAATTCTAATCATGTTACCTAAATGCAAGGAGTTGTTATACTTGTTATTATTGCATCACACTTAGTCTTGGAGAACATTTCCCAGTATTTTCTTTTACAACTGAAGTTAGATAATGTAAAATGTCTACGTCCTCTCTAACTTCATGTTGATATTAAAAGCATTTCTGATATTGGTGAAAAAGGGGCTGGGGTCAGCCCCTCCTTTATTTTTACCTTTGAGATGGGATCTTTCTGTTTCTATCTTTGTCAGTTTGGCATTTTGGGTCATCATGTGTTTCCAACAAGTTGCTCTTGAAGTTTATGCTCTTCCTGAAGCTGCATATGAGGATGCATATGAGCTTTAGTTCTATAACTAGTACCACCATCCCACAGGTGTGTATGCAGCCCTGTTCTGCAACCAGGAAATCACTTGGGAACCTCGGCCCCTAACTAAAGGCCAAATGACTACAAAAGGTTGTCCCTTTCCCTCTCTCTGATTCCGAAATTTTCTTAGTTGTATGTCTAAGGAAGTGAATGAAAATCTTTCTTTTATCATGTGTGCTTTAAAGTTTTTCCAGCATGAAAGGTCAAGTTTAATTATGATTTCTTCATAATTTACACTAGAAATCACAAAGTGTGAGATTACTTATATGGTTGCCTAAAGTTTCTAAGTTATGTTCACTGTGTGATTTTTTTTGAGGCGGCCTGACTTGTATATCCTCCTTAAGTTCTGAAATGATTTTGTAATCATTATATATCATTATGAAAGTTTATTTTTTTTAATATTAGGCAAAGTATAAATAACTATTTCATGGAAATATTAGATGCTAGAATCAATTTATATAGTTCCATTCCAGATACAATAAATAACCTGGTGGTTGTTGAATATGTAATATTACATGTTGTTAGAAAAGAATCAATCTGACTGGATAATTTATTACATATTTAATTTACTTTCAGCATCTCTGTGTGTCCTACTGCCTTTCTGAGTATTGAAGTTGTGCAATGATCTTTATGCTTAGAGATTCCAGATATATTTCTGGTCATTTTCTTTCTTATATCCATTCTACAATTCATTAATTATTTTTTTTACCTGTGCCCAAACCATTCTTTAATTTGTCCACTAAGATTTTTTTGTTTTACTGATTATAGTTTTTATTTCTAGTATTTCTGTTTAGTTGCTTTTTAAAATCTGCTTGTCTTATTTTTGCTTTATAAATTATACAATTTCATTGATTTCACTCAGCATTGAAAACAATCTTAGCTTGATTTTTCCTGTAACTCTTAGGTTGTGAATTATGCTGTTTGCTGTATCAGCTGATTCATTTCTGTGCTGGTTTGTTTTCTTCTGCTGTAATGTCTGACTGTGACCTTCTCTATCGTGAAAACTACCACATGCCTTGGCTAAGGGCCGCAACATTCAGGGGGACCCAGTTTCGCCAAGACAGATCTTGTCTTGTGCCTTCCTATTTTCGGACCTGCCTTCCTCTCCACTTCTAGAAGTGCCTGGTGCCACTGATTTCTGAAACACTATCCCATGAAACTATGCTCTTCTATTTTCATTTTGTCCATATATTTGTGAATAAGAAAGAGCCATATTTGAAAGCTTCAATTAAGAGTATTTTAAAACATGAATGTAAAGGACTTTAACTAAGACCATGGGGTGATGACTTTACTGTTCATACATTAATTAAGCACACATGTATGATCATATAATGGCCATTGGAGACACAAAGCTGAGCAGAGCTTATCTCACTGAGGAGATTGACAAAGGAACAGTTCTTACACAATATGATAAACACTATTGCAGAACAAAGTGTTCTGGGAGAACAGGAGATAATAATTATAGCAGCAGTTTATGAATATTTATTTTGTGCCAGGCACTGTGCTAAAGATCTAATTTTAATGATAGCTCTGAGAGTCAGCTAACAGTGAAAGACACATGTTAATATCCTCATCTTATAAATGAGAAAATAGAGTTCATCTGTCAATCAAGAGTTATACCCTTATTAAGTGACAGAACTGGCTTTTCAAGCCTACCTCTCTTGCTCTAAACCACTCTTTATGAGGAGAAACTGGGGAGGACTTCAGACAGTAGATGACAACTGAGCTGGGTCTAGGATGAGGAAGCATAGGCCAGACATGGATTTTCTTGAAAAAAAAAAGTCCTAAAGGCATGTGGGGGTCTGAAAATGGGGAGCATCTTGCTGTGATGGGGACATAGGAAATGTGGGAGGCAGGAATAAAGATGGGTCTGGAAAGGTAAAATGGGGGACCAGGTCCTCAAGACCTTATAGCCTATCACCATCCTGGCCAGCAATCCTGGCCAAAAAGAGGAGTAAAGGGGTAAGGGGTGAAATTGAAGTTAGGGATAAGTATACCATTGATGTACATTTAAATAAGAAAAAAGGTAAAGTTAAGATACTTTGTTTGCTTTGTGGGAATTTTTCATGTACGATAGAGCTACTGTCAAATATGCAGGTTGCACCTACCATTCTGATGTGGTGTTTGCCCTGCAAACACTGATGGCCTCACTGCACTGTCCTTCCCTTACTGCAAAGCATCTGTTTCAGTTTATTACTGAACTCCACCTCCGGATTTTCAAGCAGCAACTTTTTTTTTTTTTTAAATGATTTGCTGTGGGTGAACTTCGCAAGAGAACAAAAAACCCAAAATACCTGTATTCTGAAGAGTATATGCCCTATACTCTATTTAATGACTTTAGGCAACCAAGCTAAATAAACAAATAAATAAATAAATAATAATAATAATAATAGTAAAACTTGTGGTAACATTTAGAATAGTGCCAGTGATCTGTGGTGTTTTATCATTTTATTGGCATATAATGTTTGGTTATCAAATAGGCAGAAACATCTCCCCATAATGTATCATCACTCAGATATTGTGCTGTAGATTAGGGTTTTTTTGTCAATGTCACAGTGACAGTTTTTCTAATTTGTGTAGGAAAATCATGTTTTTTGAAGCATTCTTCTATATTCACAAAGGGATTCTTCTCTTTCACTAGTGTATATTTTATAAAAAGTGAAGACATATAAAAAGTTGCTATTTATTGCAGCCCTTTATTGATATAGATATTTCCCTTTCAGGAATGTGTGCAGAGTGATTAAACAGAGGCTATCTGAGCACACTATCTCATTTGAAATCCCAAAGAAAGTGTTTTGTTGCTTGCACAAGTTTGGTTGAACTTGTGTGCTTGGATTGTGCTTACTGTCAGCTGTTCCTTTCATTTCAGTGTGGGGTAATCACTAACTTCTTGTATTTATTTCCATTTTGCCAGTTAACTTATTAGTGCAAATTTATATGTCCTTGTTCTTCTAAGTCTTTGCCAGTCACTTTGGAACATTGAACACTTAACTGTGCTTGCTTTGGGGTACTACCAATGAAACGGTAATTAACTGAGATAGTTGCATCTTTTCCTTAAAAGCTAGAGAATGGAATTACCCTGCAATAAACAGGCTGAAAGCAATGTAATGATAACTGTTTTTGATAACTCATAGTTAACATATTTTTTTACATTAGTTAAACACTACAGAAATTAAAACTAATGAAATTGTGGTTTGTCAGATGTAATAAAATGCCAACAGATCAAATCTGGCTTGGCTCAGCAATGCTCTAGAATTTATATGACGTTTTAAATGAATCATAAAATGTTAATTAAGCAGAAATCTTGACCAAATCCGAGTAATCTGATTCAGTTTGGCTGTAGCTACGAAGCAAATAGAATTTTCTTGTCTAATTACATTTTTGTTATCTTTAAAAATCCATTTATGGTTATTGAAGAACAGACTTAGAAGTAACTCTTAAAAGTGCTTTAAAATTAATCTCTTTTATCACTTCCAACATTTTGGTCATTTTCCTGTGGTGAATAGTGAAATGGGGGATGAATTATCCCAAATGCCATCTCAGTAGTTAGATTGAACTTCAGAGACTCTTTGTAGCAATCAGTAGATTAGCAACATATGCCAAGTCTCTGATGCATCTAGATAAGGATGCTAAGGAATTGAATAGATACTAAATACACACCTAAGTGTTTGTGTGTGTGTATGTGTGTATGTATGTATACTGTGTCTGTGTGTGTATATATAGTGTATACGAATATACATAGTATGTGTGTGTATATGTGTATATATGCATATATACTGGTATTTGTATATGTATTGTGTATATGTATACATATAGTACCTGTGTTTGTGTGAACGCTTATGTATATATACATTTTTTCCAACCCATTATGATTTTATAAACTGTTTAGTATGAGTCTGGTAATTTAAAAGTATGAATTCCAGGGATGATTTGAGAGGATTTTTTTTTGTGTTGTGTGACCTTCAGGTACTTGGTTTGGGGCACAGATGAAGATGGAGATGAGGAGAATCTGAGTTGGGACATTCTGAAAGTGATACAGAGGGAGACATATTCTAGGTATACGAAGTTCTAGTTTATTCAATGGGAGCAGCAACCTCTTACTCATTCACTTCTTAAAAATCTTCAACTCAGTACTGGGAGATCTTTTTTTTTTAAAAAAGTCAATATATTATCAATTTAATTATGTAAATTTAAAATACTTATTTTTAAAAGCTTACACAGCCATTTTTGTAGATATTATCTGGTTTCATAAAATCAGAGATTTTCAGACAGTACTTTAATCAGCAACTTTCTTTTCTTAAGTTTGATACAATTAGTTCTTCAGCAAGAGGTCATGGTCATTTCTGGCATTTTCTTGGTTATAGCATTCTTTTAGAATCTGGGTCTCTGGACAATAAGAATCTGTGCAACCAGGGAGGGAAAATTCGCTTGTGTTAGATTTCCATATTTCCCAGGGAAGTTCATGTCTTCTCTTTGTGAAACTTCTCCCTGTGGTTTATAGTTTGTGCCTTTCTCCTTTAGGACTCAAGTGTCTGTTTCCTTCAAAGTTTACTGCTTTTCTGAAAAGAAAAGCTAGTACAACTGTTTTTATGTGGATGTGTCCATACTAGACAAAAAGATTTTAACTTCATTCATATCAAAACCTACAATATTTGTAGATCTTTTTCATTAGAAGGCTGATGGCTCATTTGAACATCTGTTTCTTTGTTTTCCTTTAGGGATTTCCAACTATTCGCTAACCTCTGAGTGAGTGTGACAAAAATGACTCTGCTGCTCTGTGTTAATATAATGTAGAATGAAATGTATAATCAGATGCTCCTTTCTAATAGACATCTCAATCTCAGTGTATCCAAAGCTGAACTCCTGGTATCTAAACCCCAGGCCACATGCCCCACGACCCTCCCCTCCGGGAGCAACCTGCTATTTTCTCCAACTTTTCAATACCAGTTGATGACAGCACCATCTTTCCAGCAATCCCCATACCACGTTGGCCCACACCATCCTGGTCTACCTTCTCTGTCTTACCCTATTTGACTTTTTCATTTCCCCACAGCACTTATCATCTCTTAACACACTATAGGATTTACTCATTCGTAATGCGTATTGTCTATTGTCTGTGTCCTGAATTAGAATTTAAGATTTCTCAAAGGCACAAGGGCAAGGATCTTTGACCCAAAGGCCTAAAATAGTGCCTCCTTGGAGGGCACGCAATAAATATTTGTAAATAAAGGATGAAATAAGCAATGAAAATATTCCATAAGAGATTCTTGAGTTGGCTATTTTTAGTGTTTAGAAGTAGCTAGAATATTCAATATCAAATAATCCCTTGCTGACTATCAAAGTTAGAATTATCCCAGATTTGCTATGATTTGGCTGCAAAAATAAGAGTGAGCTGAGTTAGGTTGGTTTCTAGGGACATCCAGGAAGTAAAACAAAGTGTAAGGACTAGAAGAATGCTTTCTAATTTACTGATAGTTAATTTTTGATAGATCTTTTATATGGAACACTTTGAGAACTGGTGCATGTAGAAAAAGACATTCGCTATGGTCTTGAGAAAAATCCAGTTGATACGTTGCTGCCATTCTTCTAATTCAGTGTGGTCACCTTATTCAAAGAGCTCTGCTCTGATCCTGACAATACTCAATACATTTGGATGATTAAATTTTTTTCTGCTTAAACTCTCTCATCTCAGCTGTAAAAATTAGAAGTAGGTAGTTTTGTTTTATTTCTGGCCCCAAGCAAGAAAATAAATTTGTTTTCATTAAAATTTTTCTTAGAACATGGGTGAAAAAGTAATGAGAAGAAATAATTCATATTTCATTTTCTTTTCAAACAATTAAGATAGAAGCCTATTATTGTTTGTAAGATAAATTGTATAGATAATTTGTGGGATACCAAAGTTGAATTTTATAGCGAAAAGAATTATCATTTTAGTTTTTCCAGGAAGACTGGCTTTTACTTAATGTGTTTGATTAAAGAGTCTGAATATCAGATACATTGTTTTGAGTGATATCAATTCATTTTCTATACTTTAGTTTGTAGGACCAGTATTTCAATTTATATGATGAGCTGCTACAAATTGACATAATAGAAATGGTTACAGTTTTAGAACCAATGGGACAGGAATAAAATGATTAAACACTTATAATCTGTCATTCTATAATCTGATGTAAACTATCTGAAGATTCATACAACTTCAGAATTGGAAGGAACTTGAAGATCTATTTCGAAAAACTCATTTTATATTTGTTGGAGCTTTGACTAAGACACATTCCGTGACTTGTCCAAAGTTTCCCATCACACAGCTAGTGGCAGGACCAGAGCTAGACCCAGGCATGATGACCAATGGGGCAGAACTTTTTCATGATGTAGTTTGCTTTCTATGATTTTTTCCTTCTTAATTTCAGTTTGATTTTATTATTGATATTATCATTGGAATATAAATTGTCATGTTTAAAATTTCACTTGTTACTTTTGATGTTTTAAAAAAACACATTTAAAATAAGTATTGTGAATATTTGTGCTTTCTTTTTCTGGTTTCTTTTTAAAAAAAAGAGTCCTTGTTTGAATATATATGCTTGCTATTTATATATTCAAAACCAAGCCTTTCAAGAGTTTCAGTTATATCATAGTTTATTGTATTATTTTCCATTCATGGGATATTTGCCTCCTGGTTAAACTTCTCTTTTCATCTGTGGTAGTTATGCTCAATTTACCTTTCCAGTCTCTGTGTTCTGGATGGTGACTGTGCAATCAAAGGACAGTAAAGGTTTAAACCATATTTAGGTGCTGTCCTAATGGTTGTGTCCATTTTAACTTTCCAGAAGCTGAATTTTGAGCTGAAGGATCTGCTGTCTTGGAACCTGACCTTTTGCTTTAGCTTGGCTGTGGAGAACATTCTTGATTGTGGAGAGAAATAATTCCTACTAGGAAGCGATTTTTATCCAAGAGACATCATGTTTCAAATACCATTAGTAGAAGCATTTAGCAGTGCTGATCAATTTGGATAAATTTGGAAGAGAAAACAGAGATTTGTAAATTATTATGGGAAACAGAATCTGCAGATTGGTGGGAGGAGGGAAAAAAGACTAGAGGAGGAAGGAAGCCGTATCCTAAAAAGACAAGAGCTTGGTTATTTACTGGCGGTATTGTAGGGAGAGAGAAAAATGCAGTAAGTTGCTCTCGTGTCCGGCTCCCTCTGGGAAGCACTGTGATTCGGGGTAAGATAGCCTCAGATGGAAAGCAAGCAGAATTAAAGCCCATCCACCCAGAAGCACGTGGCTGACGAGGCCAGCAGTAATGGTGAGGAGAGACAGCAGTTGATCTGGAATCAACCGAAACTTGGTTCCAGAGCTTGGTGGGTTCTAACTGCAAGGACATACCTTGAGGAAGGAGTTTCTTGCACCAAGAATTGGATCTTCAGGAGGGAGCAAGCTGTGATAAGGAGGATGATGAAACATGGGAAGCTGTTAGGCCTGAGCAGAGAAACAAACATACTTTACAATCTGATAGGTCAGCCCCGGGAGGAACATAACCCCGGAAATTGTGGACGATGTAAACTGGCTTGCATATGTTTGGTCTCCCTAGACTTTTTAGTGTCTAGACACAGTGTATCTTGTTAGTATCAGATATGTTCATTATGGCAGGTGTCTGTTAGTAATCTGTCTATTGTCAATCCTTCTCTCTCTGGTTACCTTTCCCTCATTAGATTTTGCTGGATAGAGGAGTGACTATATTGCCTATTGTTCCACACTGTTCCATACCTTGCCCACCTAACTTAATAATTGTACCCCCACCCCCATCTCCACCATCTAGCAGGCTCCCCACCTGGCCCTATTTCCATCCCCTTGGCATTTATCATCATCTAATATTCTATATAATTTACCTACATATTATATTTATAATTTATTATCCGTCTTCTCCTCCCAGAATGTAAGCCCCATGAGGGTAAAGGATGTTGTCTGTTCTCTTAGTTTTTGTTTCCCAATTGCCTAGAACAGTGTGTGAGGGCTTGGGAAGTTATTGAGTAACTAAAGATTGACTAAATTGTTGGGTCCTTCATTAAATATCTTGGTTAGTGGCATATATCTGATGGTTCTGTCATTCTCTGTTCCTTGCAAGTAGAGCTGCAAAGCCAGATTTTAAAATAAGCATAGTCTCTTGTTTCTCTCTGAGTTGGGGGCAAGTACAACAGGATTGAAAGGAGAGAGAGAACATAAAGTAAGATGGGAGTGACCTGGGACCCAGAAAGACTGAAGTACAATTTAAAGGGCTTTCTGCTCAAGTGGACTCTAATTCGAAAAGGCCCAGAATTTCCCTCAGTGTCCAGCTTACAGTTAGAAGACCTTGTATACAGTTTTGTTTCTGTCACAAATATACTACTTGATGTTGTACAGATTACTGTGTTTGTTTCATTGTTTATGAGATGAGGGTAATAACAGTTTACCTTTTTGTGTTGCTTAAAGCTTTTTTAAGATAACTACATGAGACACAGTAAAATACTTTAAAAAGTTGAAGATGCTAAACATTTGTAAACACATCATTATTATTATTAAAGCTTTTATCTTTAAATATTTTCCCTAAGATACCATATCCCAATGTGTAGGCTGAGATTTTAAGGCTTGATATGTAATTGTTTTAGCTAATATTGTTTGCTTAGTTTCCATGTGAGACATTTCCTGGTTTAGAATATCAATGAGTTTTTGTATGATACTTATTTTGCATCTTCTTCATTTGGATATGAACATAAGTTACTCCACTGGCAATCAGAAAATGATGTTTGGCTATTTATGATCATCGACTTGGGCTGAGAAAATCCTGGATTTGAAGTGAGGAGTGGGATGGAGGTTGCATGGAGCGCCTGTTGGGGAAGCCTTGGCAGGTACCAAGGAATGAGTTTGGCAGGAACTAGCCCATCAGGTGCATGGGCCATAAAATGAGGCCATGAGGGACGCAGTGTTCCTGATGACAGTGTTAAATCCGTTTCAAATAAAGTGAACTGTTTGCTTAAACTTTCCTGTGTTCCCTCAGACCTTTGGCGCTGAGAACCAACTCAATATAGAAATTAGCTCACCCAGAGACTGCGGGGCAGAAAGACTCAAAGTACAGACTGTTGCATCAAAATTGTGTTTAGTAACACAAAACTCTCAGGAAATATTTGCCGTGTTGCTTTTTAGAACTTTCTAGTGTGAACAGAATTGCCTCTTCTTCTGTTACAGCTCTATTATATCTTATCAATCATATTCTTTTAGCATAACATTTGAAACAAAGTTTTTACCTGATGAAATACATATGTATTCAGCTTTCTGACAAATCTCTGTTCTTTTAATTTTAATTTTTTGTTAAAATTATACAAAGAAAATTGCATCCCAAGGAAGCATTGATTATACCTATTCTCATGGTTATTTCTTGTTTTATTTTTATTTTTGTGTGAACTCTTTTTCGACGACCTTTTCTTCAGTGAAGATTGTTTCAAATAAAGCTGTCTGATATAGAGACATGGTTGCTAGGGAGACAGAGTCATGATGGCTGATGTTACCAGGGAAGGTAGAGCGGTGAGTCCCTGATTATAGAAGAGAACGATTTTTCATTCTCCTTGAAAGCGAGTCTTCTTTATACACAGATGACAAGTTCACTAACTCAGTAGAAATAAGACTTCAGAAAGAAATATTAAATTTTAATGTTTCCTCAGAGTGATGTAAACTTAAAGATATTTTTTTATGGTGAATGAATGAGTTTATGCTCACTGATCTCGCAATTTGTGGTGAAAATTCTTTTGGAAAAACCAACATGGTGCAAATCTTTTTGTTTAGAGAACTAGGCAAGCTCTCTAAGGCCTCAGTCTCATCATCTGGGTTGGTGAGGCCTTCATCTGGGAGGAATCTTTGTCTAATATTTCTCCCATATTCGTATTTGGTTATGTGCAGATCAGTAAATACTTGCTATGATCCACTATGTGCTAGGCATTTTACTGGGGACTTTTCATACATTTTCTAATTGAATTCCATAATCCTGATTCAAGGTATTGTCATTTTAATAAACACTAGAAAATATTCTATGCAGTGGAACAGGAGGGATCTGAATCCTGTTCAGTGCCACTAAGTTCTTTCTGTGGAAACATCTCGTATAATTCTATAGCTAATGAAGAATTTAATAAATACACAAATATTCCAATTTCATGTAAGCAACAACAGTACAGGTCTTTTTTCTGTTAGTTTTACCAATACCTTTGAAAATCCATAAACGATAAAGTTTACTGAAATAATTTTAGGAGATTATCCTGGGTTTTGAAAAACAAAATGTGCTAAACCTTACTTAAATTTACCACTCAAAAGCTTGATTGGTTCCTTATTGTTTGGGTCTCCTTTAGAATGGTTTAAAAACCCTCATAATGTAACTCAACTGAAAGGAAAAACTTACTTAATATCTTGTATGTAATATTGTGCTGGAATGGGTAAAACTGCCATGAAGTTCTTTATTTATATAAAGAATACAGTGGGGATATTATCAGATTATAAAAGGAAAGCATTTTCATAGAAATGCCCCTTCAATATTTTAAATTGGCAAACAGTCAATCCTATCACCCATATTTTGACATTCAATTTTAGATGACTTCATCTGCTGTACCCTAGAACTCTTTAGTGACGTTCCAAGGCCAGAGTCAAAGAGCATCTGCAGCTTATTCTGAGATAAGGGAGTTTTCAGATTATGGAATCTGACCAAAGTACATGGGATCAACCACTGTCCTTTAAGAAACGGTTGCCACTGTTTTGCTTCATATGTGAAGAAGGCATGAGTCAAGCTGAAGAATAAACTGGCAGCCCATTAGCCTCAGAAGCCACATCTTGTAGCCCAGAATATCTTTTAGAAAGCAAAAGTGAATTAAAAAAGAGAAAGAAATGTTCTTGGAGAGCAAGAAGTGGTCTTGGAGTGCAAGTTGTATGACCTGAGCAAGATTTATTGAGGCAATTGTGTCTGGGTTTTCAAAAGTACTGGATAATTTTATGATCACCATCAGCCACTTACAGCCTGGTCAGTGGAGATATGAGAGAAAGGTTATTTAAGGCTTCTGAATATGAGCTTCTTGCCCCTGGGAATTAGGATTGAGAGTCTTTTCCATGCACTGCTTTTTCCTATGTTATGCTATGCTATACTATTTTTTAAGAAGCAAAAAAGAAAAAAGTTAGATCTCTTCCTCTGAAATACCTTTTGTTGATTGCTCTAAGGGGCAGGACATTTGATTAGGTGGACTAGCTCCAGTATAGCAAATGCCACCCTACTTTAATGGAAGTTGTTTAGAAACATAGTGTTTTGGGATCACTACCTTAATGGTTATCTACAAATTTAACACTGCCAATCTCT